AGTAATGAGTTAGTTGCAACAACCTCACAACTGACAGTGACATGTCTTGGTGTGCCATACCAAGAACCAGCTTCTGACCTAGATGCAAATTTAAGCTAAATGAGGCTGGGAGCACCCCTGACGTGAGCTTGAACAGTTAGCCATAATCAGCAGACAAGAGGAAAGAAATGAAGCAGCAATGCAGTAGTCCAAAGGCATGAGAAGCAATGCCAGAAAACACATTAGGAAAAAGGGATGGGCTAACCCCGAAACAATAGAGGAGTGGAAAGGTGATAGGAGGCTGGTGGGTGTGTTATCCACATGCCCAATGACACCAAGGTTTTGGCACTCTCCCTTCCTCCTTCCTTTATTCATTCTAGGGCATGATGTTTGAACTCCTCCAACCATATATGCCAGGCACCTTGCCTGCTCCTGTGGGCAAGGGTTAAAGAAAAGCCAGGATTTGAAATTCTGTTCCATGTTTTTCTTGGGTCAAGATTTTTCTTTAGAATCTTTGATCAAAGTGTTCAGTAATGGTAGCCAGGCACCATCTGTTTCCTCTGATCTCATGGCAAAGGAGGATGCTTGTTTATGGAGGCAGCCAGACACACATTTGATTAAGTACCTCTGCTCTGAACATTGTGCTCTTTTAAAGAATATCTATGTGAGATAAAATTGACAACTGCCTCTCCAAGGTTGAATGGAAGTTTTTGGGGTAGTGAGTTTAAGATAATAATGGTGAAGGAATAACTTAGAAAAGGATAGCGATAGGAATCTGTACACTGCTGGTGGGACTGTCAAATGATATAACCACTATGGAAATCAGTATGGCAATTCCATAAAAGTTGGAATTAGAACACCATTTGATCCAGCAATCCCATTACTAGGTATATATCCTAAAGAAGTGAGAGCCAGAACAAGAACACATAGATGCACACCCATGTTCATGTGAGCACTATTCACAATATCAAAGAGATGGAAACAGCCTAAGTGCCCATCAGCAGAAGAATGGATAAGCAAACTATGGTACATACATACAATGGAATACTATGCAACACTAAAGAATAATGTAGAATCTGTGAAACACTGCATAACGTGGATGAACTTGGAGGACATTATACTGAGTGATACAAGTCAATCACAGAAAGACAAATACTGTATTTGTTCACTATTGTAAAAAGTCAAGGAGAGGTTTATATATAGAAGGAAGCTTTCTTTGTTGATTACCAGGAGGGGGGAGGGGAGGGAAGGGGAGAGAACACTGCTAGACAGATAGAGACAAGTATTGATTTGGATGAAGGGAAGGGCAGTGTGCCAAAAGTCAGTGATCACCTTGGTGGCATTGAAGAAAAGGAAGATACAGAGAGGTACACAGGAGGTACAGACAACAAAGATGAATCCTTTTGTATATATAGTACTATGTTGTCAGTGATGGCAAGCCTTGATCTATGGGTGGACAGGCTGAATGATCAGGTACGTCTAGGAAAGGCAGAGTGTGCCTGTGACCATGCACAGGGTTGGTAGACAGTGTTTCTACCTGCATATTTGTATGTGCTGTAAGAATGTCCAGGTGTGTAGTGGAGCTAATAAGGGGCAAGGTTGTGGTGGCTTCTTGGCCACAGCCAGCTACCCTGAGGGAGTAAGTAGTTGGACCTGTGGGCTCAGGACTGTGGTCACAGGGGACATCAAGCTCAATTGGCATAACATTCTACACATAAACATTGTTCTACATCCTACTTTGGTGAGTAGTGACAGAGGTCTTAAAAGCTTGCAAGCAGCCATCTAGGAGCAGCATTGCATCTCTCATCCAGAGCAAAGAAGAATGAAGAAAACCAAGGATGCACAGAAACAACTAGTCCAAGAGACTAGTAGACCATGCGATCCTCCCACCTGTATGACCATAAGACCAGAAGAACTAGATGGTGCCCAGCTACCACTCTCAACCACTTGGAAAGGAATCAGTGCAGGAGATCCTGGATAGAGTGGGAGAACAATGTGGAATAAAACTCAAAATCATTTAAAAAAAAAAAAAAAAAAGACCAGGTTTACTGGTCTGATAGAGCCTGGTGAGAACCCTGAAACTATGGCCCCTAGTTACCCTTCAGGTCTGGAACTGAACTCACTCCTGTGGCTTCCAACCAAACAATAGACAGGCATATGGGGGTGAACATTTACATCAGGTAGATACACTCCCTAGAGCAATCAATCATAGGAGAATAGGAAGGCAGTGTTTGCATAGGGAGATACTTATGGGACAGGAGTGAATGGGAGGGAAGTACACAGAAAAGAAGTAAGTACAGGAAGGGAGTGGGAAGAGAGCTTTACATCGTGGGTAATTGCAGTCAATGTCATGGAACAAACTCTATGAAATACTGTATGGAAAATGAATTTGCTCTGTAAACTTTGGCCCAAATCACAATACAAATTTTTGAGAAAAAAAAAAAAATAGCAAGAATGGTAGCACAATATAATCAGCGTCCCTGAATTGTATGTGTAGAAATTGTTGGAATAGTCTATTTTTGATTATGTATACTTACATACACACACACACACTTTTTTTTTTTTTTTTTTTTAAAGCAAGAGCCCTACCCTTCAGGGTCACCATGAGGCTAATTAGCAAGGGGCTAATCCTTTGCACATTATGTGAACACACAGTATTTACGTGGAATACATGGTGTTTAAGTGGAGAGCTGAAGGCTGAGGAGTGAGTAGAAGAAGGATGTTGTATGGCAGGTGGGAGGATGAAGAGAGTGATGCTTGAGAAGTGGACAGAGGCCACTGTGACTGGCGCGTAGTGAGCAAGGGCAGCAGTGGGAAGTGAGGATGGGTTGGTGGGCAGGGCCTTATCAGGTTTATTTAGGAATTTTCAGTCTTTGTACTAAGACACTTGAAGGATTTTGAGCAGAAGATTGGAGGAATCCAATTAAATGTTTAAAAGATTGCTCTGGCTCTTATGCTGTAGATGCAGAATTAAAGGAGGTAGTGGAGAGCTCAGGCTTTGTGAATCTGGCCAGAATGATGGCAGCTTGGACCTAGTAGTGGCAGTGGTGACACCAAGGATATTCTGGATTTTGGAGGCAGGATTAAGGAAGGCTACAAGTAACAGATTGGGGTGAGGGTGTGAAAGGAGCCCAGGTGGGACAGTCATTAAACACTCAGCTGCTAACCAAAAGGTTGACAATTTGAACCCATAAGCTATTACACAGAAGAAAGATGTAGCAGTCTGCTTCAGTCAGGATTTCAGCCTTGGAACCCTTTGAGGCAGTTCTACTCTGTTCTACAGGGTCGTCATGAGTCAGATTCAATTCTATGGCAATAAGTTTTGTGGGGTTTTTTTAGTTTGATATTCAATATAATAGGGACATTGGTAGTTCAGTGGCAGAATTCTCACCTTCCATGCAATGAGACTCAGGTTCAGTTCCAGCCAGTGCACCTCGTGCACAGCTGCCACCTGTTTGTCACTGGAGCTTGTGTGTTGGTACGTTGCTGAACAAGTTTCAGAGGAGCTTCCAGACTAAGACAGACTAGGGAGAAAGGCATAGAGATCTACATCTGAAAATCCACCAGGGAGAGCCCCATAGATCACAAAGATCTGATATACAACCAGTCATGGGGATGGCTCAGAACTGGGCAGCATTTCATTTCATTGTGCATAGGGTTGCTGTGAGTTGGGGGCTGACTTGATGGCAGCTAGCAAAAATAATAAGACTCATTATAACTCTTTTAAGAACCTTTGTTTTATGCCCTTCTTTTCCCAAGATACAAAGAAGGTGCTTTTGTGGTATAGTGGTTAAGGCAGTTGACTGCTAACCAGGAGATCAGTGGTTCGTACCCACCAGCAGCTCCACAGAAGAAAGGTGAGGCAGTCTGCTTCTATAAAGATTGATAGCCTTGGAAACCCAGTGGGGGTTGCTGTGAGTTGGAATCGACTCAGTGGCAGTGGGTTTGGTTTTGGTTTTTCCCAAGTTCTTGTTTTTCTTCTTGGCAACTATCCAACATTCACTGACATTTAAATTTCTCTTGAATGATAAATTGGTACAAATACTATGTGAGAAAGATTATAAAAGGGTAAACATAGCATGATCCCATTTGGGAAAATAGATATTTACTGAAGATAAATATGTAAAACACATTCCCCCCCCCACACCCCGTACTATTTAACCATCTCCAAAGTTTTCTATCATAATGTTAATGGTAGTGACCTTTCAGTAGTGAGATGTGGGATCCATTTTGCTTTCTTGGGCATAATTTTGTGGAGTCCCTGGGTGGTGCAAATGATTTGCTCTCAGCTACTAATTGAAAAGTTAGCAGTTCAAACCACCCAGTGGCACCACAGAATAAAGACCTGCTGATCTACTTTTATAAGATTCTAACACTTAAAACCAAAGCCATTGCCACTGAGTCAATTCTGACTCATAGCAACCCCATAGAACAATAGAACTGCCCCATTGGGTTTCCAAGGCTGTATGCAATGCTTACAGAGGCAGACGTCTTTTGGTTAGGTTAACCACTGTGCCACCAGGAGTCCTTTACGTAAGATTGCAACACTTAAAACTGAAATGGAGTGCAGTTCTACTCTGAAACACATGGGGTTGCCATGAATCAGAATCAACTTGCCAGCAATGAGTTGTATGGACTCTAACTTTATTTACAGTGTTGTTGTTGTTATGTGCTGTCAATTCGGCTCCAACTCATAGCAACCCTTCCTTGGGTTTCTGAGGTGGTATCACTATGGAAATAAATTGCCCAGCCTTCCTTCCGAGGAGTGGCTGGTGGGTTTGAACTGCCAGCCTTCTGGTTAGCAGTCAGATGCCTTAGGCACTATGCTACCAGAGCTCCTAGTAAGCTGTACCATAGTCAGAATAACTACAACAACAACAACAAAAATCCATTTTCATTCTGGAATGAAAAGCAGAACATTTTATAACACATTTTATGTGCAGGGCACTGGAAATGCAAAGAGCATAAATGCAGCTTATGAAATGAAACACAACTTACAGTTTTTTTCTGTTTTGTTTCAGGAAGGAGTTGAGGTGCGAGTGGCAAGAATATTCAACACCTTTGGGCCACGCATGCATATGAATGACGGGCGGGTTGTCAGCAACTTCATCCTGCAAGCGCTTCAGGGGGAGCCACTCACGGTGCGTACCTGAATCAGTAGGCATGTTGAGTCTTCTTAGGTTCATTTTGCAGCCCAAATTTGGACTCAGCCTAAAAATGAGAAAATCTTAATTCAGGAAATATAGCGTTTCTGAAGTTACTATTTTGTGCATGTGTGTTTATGTGTGTGCCACTAGCCCTGATTAAGCTCCTTAGTGAAGGGGAGGGAAGGTGGGTTGGATAGAATCAAGAGGAGGTGTATCTGTATCTTCCAGATGAGATAACTTGAGTCACCTTGCCTCTACTGAGCCCAACGATATCCTAGGACAGCTAGCTGCAGACTTTGTCCACGTTGCTGGTTCCTCAAGGCCTATCTTCAGGAGCCTGCCTGCAAAGAACTTTCCCAACTCTGTCTTGGCATGCTAGCTATAGCCGGAGTATATCTTTACTCAGTGTCTCTCAGATTGCCGAGAAGAACCACAACGTCAGAAGGAAATGGAGATGAATTTGGGTCAGGTCTTGGCAATGTTGATAAGCACTCCTTCCTTTGCCAGTTTTTCTCAACCTTGGAGAAACTTCCAGAGCCCAATGTAGAGATTCTGATGCGGGTGGTCTAGGGCTAGTGGTTCTAATGTGCAGGGACGACTGAGAACACATGCTATAACCTGTGCTGATTCTGATCACCTGCCTTCAGACCTTGCAGCCCCTGAGAGGCCCTCACTGTCTTTAAGGCTACAAATAAGTTATTCATTCTATACACACGCTCATCTCCCCCTTTGGCTGTGGGACAAAGCAGAGCTCTCTTCCCTTCTTAGGGATGATGAGTACCCTTGGTGTGCTTAAAGGCTGGGGTTACTGATAATTGTGACTGGTTTTCTTCAGTTTTCCTGAATCCTCATTCTTTTCCTCCTTTCTATCTCTGCTTCTGTTTCCTTTTGGCTTTCCTATTCTGCTTCCTACTTATCTGCCTCAGCTTTTTTGTTCTTTGAATCTGTTGCCTCTAAAGTCTTATGAAGGTCACTGTGGTGGTTATCCAGACTTGAAAAGCATCTGTTACTTTTGAGGCTGTCTGCGTAATGGTTTGCTTATCAACTGAGCAAATTCTAGAGGGGAAAAAGGTTACATCTATTTATCTCTGTTTATCTACCTGTCTGTATCTCTCTCTATTTGGAGTCCCTGAGTAGTACACATGGCAAGCTGTTGAGCAGAAGGTTAGCAAGTTGAGAACACCAGAGGCACCTCAGAAGAAAACTCTGGAGCTCTGCTTCTGAAAAATCAGCCATTGAAAACCCTATGGGAAAGGACTTCCGGTAAGATGCAGGAATAGACAGACAAGTGACATAGACCCTCTTCAACGAAGAAAAGAAAAATCAATTGACAGAGATATAGAAGATAATCCTGGAGCCCTAAACTTTGAAAGGAACTATACAGAAGTGGATTAGGGACCAACTAGTGGAAAAATCTGAATGAAAACAGTGAGTACAGAGATGGTCGGAGCTGCAGATTGTCAGCTACTCTGACAAGACCAACAGCCTGAATATTTCTAAGTGGGGTTGGGACCTGAGAATTGACCTAAAGATCAGGCCTGGTCACCAAAGGCTGCAGAGACAACTGCTCTGGTGGCCTGTGACTAAGGAGGGAGACAACCTGAGTTGTGGACTTCCTACTGTCTGGAAGGCATAGCCATTTTGATTGTTTACACGTGGCAGCCATTTTAGATATTTAAAGTGACTGAGGGCACAGCCATTTTGAATGTTTACAGGTGGTGGCCATTTTGGATTTTAAAGTGACAGCATTCTCATTTGGATTCCAGGTTCCTAAGAACAGACTGTGTTTGCCAGGGTAGGCAAGGACATAGGAGAGGCTGACAACAGGAAAGGAGACAGGTGGTGAGTGTATAAGTGCTGTCAACTATTGAGTAGAGGAGCACAGCACAGTACCCTGCCTGTATAGATAACATAACAAAGAAAACAAAAATTGTGGGCAAGTCACTCCAACATATAATCACCAATTAAATATAAACACAAAAACGTCACGATGCCGCAGAGACAACAAAGCATCACAGTCCACACAAAGAAGTAAGATAAAGCAGGAGAAACAAGGGACCAGGATACAGATCCAAAACATATCCCTGAGGAAGACGCAGCATTGGAACTCCCTGATAAGGAATTCAAAAGAATTATATTTAGGTGTCTTCAACAAATTGAGAGAGGGATCAAGGAAAACACAGAGAAAACCCTAGAACAATTTCGACAGACAATACAAAAACAAAATGACAAAATAAATGAAAAATTAGAAATGATTCTAAATCTACAGACAGAAATCCAGAAGATAATACTAAATTGTCAGAAATAGATAACACATTGAAAGGGCAAAGGAGTAGAATTGATGCAATGGAAGACAGAATTAATGAGATTGAAGACAAATACCTGAAGACTTCTTTGGAAAGGGATCAATCAGAAAAAAGATCCAAACAAAATGAAGAAAGCCTAAGGTTCATGTGGGATACCATCAAAAGGAGTAACCTACATGTCATTGGAACTCCAGAACAGGAAGAGAAAAATAAAACCACTGAGAAAATTGTCCAATATTTGTTGGAGGAGAACTTCCCTGATAATGATGAAAGATGAGAATATATCCATTCAGGGAGTCCAATGAACCCCAAACAGGATAGACCCCAAAAGAAAAACACCAAGACATATTATCATCAAACTCACCAAAACCAAAGACAAAGAATCATGAGAGCAGCATGGGAAAAACGAAAAGTTACCTACAAGGGGCAACCAATAAGACTAAGCTCAGATTTCTCAACAGAAACCATGCAGGCGAGAAGACAGTAGGATGGTATATATAAAATCCTGAAGGAGAAAAATTTCCAACCAAGAATTATGTAGCCAGCAAAATTGTCCCTCAAATATGATGGTGAATTTAGGACATTTCCAGATACGCAGAAATTAAGGGAATTTGTTCAAACCAGACCAACCTTATAAGAGATGCTAAAGGAAGCTCTTTGGACAGAGAAGCAACAACAACCAACAGCAACTATCATTAACACACATGATGATATAACCCAGAAACCAACCCAGCTATGGAAGTATCCAAAGTAAATAAGCCTACAAGATTGTAAACAGGGACCCAGAGATACCAACCGACAAATGAGGACAACTACAAACCAAAAAAAGGAGAAAAAGTCTGTGTTGTTACAGAAGTTCTAGCTGGTAGGGAAGTCAAGACAACTACAAGATAGAACGGACTATTCTACACTTGGGAAGAAAACTGTAAATCACAGGATAACTTCAAAGAAAAATGATAAACCTTCACATCAAAATAAAAAAGAGGACCAGCATAAATATTCAGCAAATACTAAAACAATAGCAATGAAGGAAGTGATAACATAATTCACAAACAAAACGAGCTCAGCATAGAAAATTATATGGAACAAAGAAATCGACACAATGAAAAAGCACATGACAAAAATGAGCAACAAATTCATATTTGCTGATAATTACATATCTGGCAAGGGACTTATCTCTAAGATTGATGGAAAACTCCAGCGCCTCAATACCAAAAGAATTAACAATCCAATTGAAAAATGGGCAGAAGACATGAATAGACACTTCACCAAGGAGGATATTCAGGTGGTCAGCTAATACATGAAAAGATTCTCACAATCATTGGCCATCAGAGGCATGTAAATCAAAACAATAATGAGATATACTATCTCACCCAGCACTGATGGCAAGGTTCAATGAGACAGAAAATAACAAATGCTGGTGGGGATGTGGAGAGATTAGGACTCTCATACATTGCTTGTATGTGAAGTGATACAACCAGTGTGGAAAGCAATATGGCAATTCCTTAGAAAGTTGGAATTGGAGATACCATTTGACCCAGCAATCCCATTACTATCCTAGTATATATCCTAGAGAGGTGAGAGTCAGGATAGGAACAGATACATGCATGCTCATGTTCATCACAGCACTATTTACAATAGCAAAAAGATGGAAACAACCTATGTGCCCACCAGCGGAAGAGTGGATGACCAAACTATGGTACATACACATACTGGAATGCTTTGCAACACTAAAGAATAATGTAGAGTCTGCAAAATACCGCATAATAAGGATCAACTTCGAGGACATTATGGTGAGTGAAATAAGTCAATCACAGAAGGACAAATATAGTATCAGTTCATTGTTGTGGAGGATCAAGGAAAGGTTTATATATGGAGGGAAACTTTCTTTGTTGGGTGCCAGGGTGGGGAGGGAACACTGCAAAAAAAAAAAAAATGCATTGACCCATGTCACTTTAGTTTTGTGTATTTCACTGTACATAAATTATATTTCAATAAAATGCATTTTTTAAAAAAAAGATACAGGCACAATAAATATATGATCCAAGCAAAAAAAAAAAAAAAAAACCTATGTAACACAGTTCTGTTCTGACACATGGGTCGCTATAAGTCTAAATCAATTCAATGGCAACTGCTTTGTTTTTTAAAAATCTATCATCTATCTATTTATTATTTACCTATTTATCTAGATAGGAGCTCTGACAGGGTAGTGCCTAAGGCACTTGACTGTTAACCAGAAGCCTGGCGGTTCAAGCCCACTAGCCACTCCTCGGAAGGAAGATTGGGCAATCTACTTCCGTAGTGATACCGCCTTGGAAACCCAAGGAGGGGGTCACTATGAGTCGGGGCCGACTCAATGGCACATAACAACAACAACAACATCATTTATCTAGATAAAGATGGTTTAGTATATACCAAGCACTGGTCTTTGTATTTTACTGGTGGTGTAGTACCTAAGCCACTTGACTGCTAACCAGAAGGCTGGTGGTTTAATCCCACCACCACTCCTTGGAAAGAAGGTTGGGCAATCTACTTCCGCAGAAATACCGCCTTGGAAACCCAAGGAGGGGTCACTGTAAGTCACAGTCGACTCAATGGCAGTGAGTTTGATTTATGGTTTGGTTTTAATCATCTGACAGATCTCAGGGAGCTCTGGTGGCATACTGCTTGGGCACTTGACTGTTAACC